GGAGCAGGGCAGGCCGGCCCGTCTTCCGGGGCCAGGCCGAGGACGGAGTCTGAGCTGAGGGCTTTCCTGAGTCCCGGCTGGGGACCCAGGGCCGCCCTGGCCGGCGTGGACGGCTCGCCCAGCTTCAGGCCCTCCCGCCGGTGGTCCTCCTCCCGCTGGGTCTCCTGCACCAAATCCCGCTGCACGTAGAGTGACGGGCGCCCCCTGTCCCGCCGCGGGGCCGAGGCCAGGCCGACCTTGGTCAGCAGTGGCCTGGTGGGTATCTCTACCATCTCCTGCTGGCTGGCCGCCTGCCGTAGCCCTCTCTGTTCTCGCAGGTCCGCCTCCCGCTCCTGGGCCCGCCGGATCTCCCGCTCGATGGGCGTCTCCCCGGGGGGCTCCGGGGACCCCACTCGGGACCGGGAGCCACGGCCGCTCACAGCCCGGGCACCAGGGGCAGCGGGGAGGCCGCCGGCGTCCCCCTTCTCTCCCGAGACCGCGTCCCTCCCCTGGGGCTTCGGGGGGACGGCACACCCGCTGGCCGGGGGCAGCCCGCCCGAGGCCGTGGAGGCCTGACCCACAGCAGGGGGGGCGCACGCAGGGGCCGCCCTAGCTGGAAGGTTCTGGGCGGCCGCTGCACCGGCCTGCTCCAGACTCAAGAACTGCCGTCTGGCCGTCAGGAAGTTGATCTGCTCCCTGTCGACCACGTGCTCCTCCGGGGGCCCAGACTGAGCCTGGCCGGGGCTCCCGGGGTCCCCGTGGGCAGGCCTGCCCTGGAGCGCGGGCGCCGTGCTGCCCTTCCTGAGTGCCTGGTGCTCCCGTTCCAGGCTCCGTGGCCGCGTGGGCTGGGCGTCCCTTGGGTGCCGACGGCAGGCCTTCGCCTCCTCTTTCTCGTCACCCTCCCGGCCGAGCCTCCACGGGGCTGGCCGGTCCCGGAAGGCACATGGGCTCCGGGACGCCTTCGGCCCGGCTGCATTCGGCCCGGTCTCTCGGTCAGCAGGCAGGGCCCGTGGCTTGTTCTGGTCCCAGCCGCTGGCCGCAGGCCCCACGTCCACCAGCTCAAACGTGTGGCCGGTGCCCTCCTCCAGGCCCAGGCCACCCACACGGGGCGAGTGAGGGATGCCAAAGATGGGGTATCTGGTCACTCGGTCCATGGCCTGGGGGGCTCAGCTGCCCACGGCTCCGGGCGCAGGTGCTCCGGGCTCACTGAGGGAGGAGAAGGGAACAACGGCCGACACGTCAGGGACCGGGACACGGCCCCCGGCCGCTCTCTTGGGGACAGGTGCGATTTCCTTTCCCTCAAAGGCCAAAGTCCTGGCCAAAGGGCCTCTATGGTCACTTCGGGGATGGACGCGTGACCCAGCCTGCCAATGACGTGAAATTCTGGTCCTGAGACTTTGCGATCACCCTGGGAAATCGGAGCCCTCCGCCCCCCGGGCTTGTTGCCCAGCAAACGGCTGGGGGCCGCACGTGTGCCCTCACGGACACAGCCTGCTTGAGGGCAGCACTGACGCCAACAGGCGTCCGTAAAAAATGCCGTGTGAACTCCTGGATCCAGCCGCACCTGTGGCTCACTCCCGTACTGACTCTCTCCACAGCTTGCCCCGTGAGCGTCTGACATGTTCTGGTGCCCCTGCCGTTCGTCTCCGGGACTCCTGCTACTGCCCTCTCCCACCCAGCTCACGTGGCCAGACCCAAGGCCATCCCCAGGCAGCCTCCCTGGGCCCCCGTGTGCACGAGTGCACCTGCCTGTCTCCCGGGGTGCAACACATTCTGAGGTTCCTCTCGTAAGATTTCTTTCATCAGCGGGCCTGCCCCTCACTAAGGGATGTCAAGTGGGGAAACTAAGGCTCAGAGAGGGAGGATGGCTGGCAGAGACTCCGGTCTCCTGGTTCCCTCCCCTACACCTGCCTAAAGGGACACTTGGTCCCATCCCGGACAGTCCCCCGCCTCGGGGCCATAAAGCCAGGACGGGCTAGGGAACGCCTTGGACCTTGTCCTGCGGGGCCAGGTGAGGCCACGGAGCCTCTGGCCACACCCTGATCCAGTGCCCCAGGGGGCCCTGGCACCTCTCCAAGCCTCGGGGTTCTGCTGAGCACAGCTCTGGGAACCCCCTCCTATGAAGGCACGGACCTGCTCTCCAGGGCCTCCGTCTGACCTCAGCACAAAACCCAGACTTCACAGGGGTCCCTACCCCAAACCTGACCCTCTTCCTCCTCCTCCCGCAGCTTCCTCTGCATTTGTGCTGCTCCACAGCCTTCCTAGCTGCAGCCCACAAGACACCTCCTCCAGGGAGCCCCCCCCCCCCCCC